ATAAGTAATTATGTAGTCAATATGTTTATGATTGAGCATGAACACAGAGAGCTAATTAAGCCACCATTTGATGGAAAACTTTAAATTACTTCGAACCATTTTCATTTTGGCCGATGTGTGATAAAATGATACTATTTGGACAAACTCTGTTAATTGCTCATTATCTAATAGCTGTAACCTTCTAAGACCACTTCACCCCTACCCCTACCCCATTCCCGCTTCCCTGTCCCCTTCTCCTTTTGTTGTTGTCCTAAGCAAGGTAGCTGTTAAGGAATAGAATCCCACATCGAATAAAGATGTAAACATAAACCAATTTATAAAGGATTGAGTTACTCCTCTTAATAAGGTCGACTTTTTAAGATGGAACCCCAATTCTTAACATGGTATTAGAGCCTATTAACCTCTAACGAGCAATTCGATCCGGTTAAGACTCCAAAAAGTGAGCATACGGATTTCAAGATTGGTGTCCTCAAACGAACCACCATCTTGCGAGGGCATGTTAAGGGATAGAATTCCATATTGAATAAAGATGTAAACATAAACCAACTTATAAATGATTGGATTACTTCTCTTAATAAGGTTGACCTTTTAAGATGGAACCCCAATTTTTAACAGTAGCAATGGAAGGAGGAGACGGGGCGGTAGATGGATGGGGAGAAAGAGGGGGGACATTCAATGAATAGTAACAACAATAATCCATAGACTGGTATAATCTAGTAATTTTATCAATTTCTTAATGTGTTAAGATTTGAATTCAGCTGACTGCATATATATCTGGTGATGTATACAGGTTCCACTCACTGCATCACACTCAATTTCGAACCAACTACTCACTTTTCATGCCATTCTACGATTATATCTACGGAACGATGGACGAATGCTCAGACTCGCTATATGAAAGTTCGCTTGATAGGAAAGAGGACGCACCTGATGTAGTTCATCTAACACATCTAACAACTCCCGAATCCATATATTATATGCGTCTAGGATTCGCGTCCCTGGCCTCTAAGCCTTACAATTCGATGAGGTACCTTTGGTTACTCTGGCCTGTGACACTTTGGTCCATGATGGTAACTAGGATTTATGGACGCACATTTACTGTGGAGAGAAATGTCTTTAAACATCTAAAGTTGCAAACCTGGGCCGTTCCAAAATATAAGATCCAAGTAAGAATCTCTGCATCAATTCATATATAGACATGCA